GTGTTGCCCAAACGAGAGAGTCCTGGCATCAGCCTATTTTGCAGCAACCTCAAACACCTGGGTTCAAATAAGCCTCCTGCCTCAGCCTTCCTAGTAGCTGCGACTACAGGTGCCCCCACTCCCTCCCCAACACCTGGCTAATTTTCTTGTTTTTGTAGAGATACGGTCTTACTCCTGCTTAGGCTGGTCTATAACTCCTGAGCTCAAGTGATCCTCCCAGAGTGTTAGGATTACCAGTGTGAGCCACAGGCCCCTAGCCCAGAACTATTTCACTCCTTTCAATGTAACACTTGTATCCATCTTAACTGGATAATTCTCTAAGAACCACAAAAGATGGTTCATCTGTGAAGACTTCTATAATCTAAAAAGACTAGATTTGGTGCTCTCCTAAGTGATTTTAGGAACTGTGTGGTAAGGGGCAGGTGGAATCTTGGATGTGAATCCAGAGAGGGCAGTGAAACATTATGTAGATGTTAAACATTGGAAATGTAATAAAAGGGAAATAATCAACATATCAGAACTTTTCTAAGCAAATATACTATATGAGATAGAAAAGTACAGATAAACAGTTTAGTGAGGGTGACAGTTTTCCTGAGGGACATGATAGACAACCATTCTCAATCCAGCCAACCCCACACACACCCTCTAGTTGAAATGTGGGCGTTCAGAAATACGTGTGGCCACTTTTGTTGTTGTCAGTATGGCTGGGAGCAGTATTGACACAGAGGGGGTAGGGACATTATAATGTATAGGGACCATCCCACACAAGAAAAATTTGTCCCACCCAAAATGCTAATAAAACCTCCATTGCATTAGTATGTATGCAAATCTGAAACTGAGCTGAATTGCCCATAGTAAGAGTGGAGGCTGGGAACTGGCACCTGAGAACTCCCAGCTCTACCCACAGCCAGGCAGAGCTCTGCTGTGCCTGTAAATGTATGTTGAGTACATGTTTTAAAAAATATTGATTTAAGATAAAAAACATATATTAGTTCCAGGCTGGGTGCAGTGGCTTACGCCTGTAATCTACCTCTGGGAGGCTGAGGCTGGTGGATTGCTTGAGTTCAGGAGTTTGAGACCAGCCTGAGCAAAAGTGAGATCCCTGTCTGTAATAAAATAGAAAAACTAAGGCAAGAGGATTTCTGAGTCCAAGTGTTGGAAGTTGCTGTGAGCGATGACGCCAGGACAGCCTACCCAGGGAGACAGCTTGAGACTCTCTCTCTCAAAAAAAAAAAAAAAGAAAGAAAAGAAAAAAATATATATATAGGTTCCAAAAAGAGCCAAATTATTAGCCCTAGGGGCATCTAGTATTTCCTTCAAATTCTGCTCCTCTGTACCTATCTCACTGTAAAGTAATTCCCTGAAAACTTGTCTGTATTCTCAATCTATTGCATCATCAAAATCTAATGTGGTATCTGGCCTATGACAGATGCTCAATATATTTTTTAGAATTTTGACTCCTCAAATCTAAAAATCAGACCTGAGATCTTTTTGTTTCAGACCCACACATTTATCACTAATTTTACATTTCCAATTGAGCACCTTAAATACAGGCACAAGGCAGAATCTACTTTGATCCGGTGCTAAAACACTACCCCAGATAATACCAGTTACCCTTTTATGGCAAATGCTATCACAATCCTCCCAACTACCCAAGCTAGAAGCCTGCATGCCACTCATGATTCTGCACTTCCTCAACTTCCCAGGCCCACGAATTCTATCTTCCAATTATCTCTTGAGTTATTTCCCTTCAGTAAGGGAATAGGGACAAGATTTAAACCAAGGTAGCCTGGGCAAGAGATATGCTAGGCTAGGCTACATAACCTCCTAGACCTCTGCAGCTTAAACACATGATAACTCAACAAACTACAAGGTCTTCATGAGCCAGTTCCTGACTTTTTAAAGTATAACTTTCTATTTCTTTTTCTTTCTTTCTTTCTTTTTTTTTTTTTTGAGATAGAATTTCTCTATGTCACCCTCGGTAGAATGCCATGGTATCACAGTTCACAGCAACCTCCAACTCTTGGGCTTAAGTGATTTTCTTGCCTCAGCCTCCCAAGTAGCTGGGACTACAGGCACCCATCACAACGTCCGGCTATTTTTTGGTTGCAGTTGTCATTATCGCTCAGCAGACCCAGGCAGGGTTTGAACCTGCCACCCTAGATGTATGGCTGGGTCCCTTGCCAACTGAGCTACGGGCACCTCCATCAGCTTTAACCTCATTCCTAAAATTTCCTCATGTCTGGCCCCTCCTCTGTACTTCTCACCCTATTTTGTGAGATTGCAAACTCCCTGAGGACAAGCACTGTGACTTTTCGTGTATGTATTTAATACACCAGAATCTAATCATTGGCGCTAACTAAATCGCAAGTAGATAAATTTTGGCTTAGCATTAGGGAAATTAAAAAATATATATACGGTACAGAGACTGTAGACCAGTGGCAAAGAGTGTGGCGTTTGGTGTCACACTGCCTCTGTTCCAATTTGAGCTTTCTGTGATGCTTTCAGCAGTGTAATCTGTCTGTGCCTCATAAAATGGAGATACCTGTGCCATCAGGTTGTTGCACGAATTAAATGAGGTAATACATGGAAAGTACTTGGCTCAGTTCCTTGTAAATACTTGGTAATATCAGATATTATTATTTTTCTATTAGTTAATATGATCAGTCACTAATACTATCTCACAATGATGTGGGTTGCTTTTGAGAATCAGTTGACCCTTTTATTAACTGTAGTCAAGCAGCAGAAAATCTAGGAGAGATGCTATAGAAACAACTCCTGAATTGAAAAGATCAGGTGACTTCTAAAGGTACTTCTTATCATAGAAGAGGGAAACTCTTTCTCTGATTCTAGGAAAAGTATGATCATTATTGACACATCTATCAAAATTGAGGAGTGTTAGAACAGGAAAAAAGGCACTAGATTTGGCTATATGTATATATTACAAAGAAAAAATATTTTATTCTTTGTGAGCAGGTAAGTGCAAAAGCTTTTTTATTTATGTTGTAACCTATAAGGTGAATCAGGCCCTTACATGAAAATCCACCTCTTTTCAAAAGGACTAGTTTGGCCCTGCCAAAATGGAACAAACAAAACTTTAAAGACTGGTCCAGCCCTACTGAAATGTCTTTTCCTTTTGAAAGAAGTCTATTAGTGATATGAGTGCTGAGTTATTTGCACAGATGATAATCTCAGCAAACAAAACAGTGAAACCATTAGAACTTTCTTGCGCAGTATTCAGTCCCCAGAATTTGGCTTTCGGGTATTAAAAAGGCAGAGAAAGGGAGTAGAACTGGTTTCTATTTGGGATGGTTTGTTAGGTCTGCTTATCTGAATTCTGGGCTAATTATCTTGGCCAAACAATTCTCCAAATGTGGACAAACTGAAGGGAATCCTACTCTCTGGGTCCTGGGCAAGTGCTTTAAACAAGTTGTCTTGTTTTTTTAAACTTTATTTTATGTACAAAAAGTTAGCAAGGTTTCTTTCACAGGGGATCCCTGGATAATCCGTTCAAGGAAGGTAACAGGCAAAAGCAGGATCCTTAGTTATGGAATAACATTCATAGTTAGGAGGTGAATTCTAGAAATATATCCATCAGAAGAAATTCAATGATATGTACTTCTAGGGTAGGAAGTTAATTGATACTCTCATATTACTGATTCTTTAAAACAATTAAAAATTAGATAATTGAAAGGCTATTTGTACAGGTGAAGATGACCATTTTCCAACTTCTTTTGGTCGGATACTCAATACAAGCAATTTCTCTAAGAATGTATTAAGTATACAATTTTACCGTAAGCAAAAGGCCTGAAAAGATCTTTATTAATTATATACAGCACTTATCCACAAGTAGTTTGCTTGACTATTATTTGATTATATTGTTTGACAGGTTTGATGAGACCTAGTTTCTCAGGAGCCACAGGGCATTAGGGAATATTAGTGGCTGGAAGCTGTTGCCTAAAGGGATTAGGAAAGCATTTCTGAAGCAAAAACCCAACCTGTTATTGCCGTGCAATGGCCATCACCCAGTTGATTAAAGCTTTTGGAAATGCCTACTGGGCAGTTTACTGAGAACAGAAAAGTTAACCCTCCATTACCTACATGTATCAACAGTAGGAGCTGGTATCCACAGAGTTTGCATGCTACGCTCGCAATCTGGGTCCTAAGCAGGGTGGAGCTTTGGTAGGTAAGGTCGGAGTTAAAGAGCTTCCAGATCATCAGGTGTTTACATTTCAGGTGCGGTAGTGGACCTGGTCCACACTCCACCCTGCACAACCTCTCCTTTGCAGCTTTGCTTGACAGCTTGTCCAGTGGCCGCCAGTCTTTGATAATCCCGGGAGGTCAGTCTCGCTTTAGTTCTGCGCTCTGCCTGCCTCCCACGCGTGCAGGGCGTGGGAGTGGACAGCTGCTCCCGCCAGCTTTCCCCAGGGCTTTCTTGCCCTGCCCACTCCACACACCTCCCCTCTTTCGCACCCCGGCTGGCCAACTCCAGCGGCCCGAGTGTGCCGTATAGAAGTAAGCACAGCTCACTTTTCTAGGGGCCTTTTCTCAGAGTGTGTTGGGCGACCGCCTCCCGCAGTCCTAGAGACGCTGCGGTACTCGGTTGTAACCTATGTGTAGTTGAGTCTAAAAATAATCATAATAATAATTTGGGACACTAGCTACCTTGCCAATTATACTACCTGCTTAGGACAAGGACCAGATACAGAAACGTCAAACTTTGTCCATGGAGGGGAATCAGAAGCGAAGAGGAGCCACTTTCTGCCTGTCCTTCCCGCGGTCCCGGGGGCAGGCAAACCTCCCGAGCGCCTGGCGGCCGCGCGGCCGAGCCCGCAGCTCGGGAACGCGGAGGAGGCCCAGCTCCCGCCGGGGAGGCGCGCGAAGGCGGGGCGCGCACAGGGGCGGGCGCGCGCCGGGCTTGGGAGAGCTCCCTCTGGGATCGCGGCTGCGCAGTCGGGCCGGAGCCGGGAAAAGGGGGAGGAGGGCGGAGGAGCCGGAGTAAGGGGAGGGGGAGGAGCGGCGAAAGCGGAAGCCATGTTGGAGTTTCACCCCGAGCGAGGGGCTGCGAGCGTTCTGCTCTCCTTGTGGGTGTGACCCGGCTCGGCGCGGCGGCCGGCTGCGGGGGGCGGGGACGGTTAGGCCGGCGGCGGCGGCGGCGGCGGCGACTGCGTGAGGGGAGCGGCAGCGGCCGCAGCGTGGAGCTGGGCGATTGTGACCGCCAGGGGAGCAGGGGGCCGGCCGCGGCGCCCACTCTCCGTGTGGCCCCCTGAGCGCCCCCCCTCCCCTGCCCGGGAGGGAGGCGGGGGGCACCCGGGGCCCGCCATGAACCCCGGCTTCGATCTGTCCCGCCGGAACCCGCAGGAGGACTTCGAGCTGATTCAGCGCATCGGCAGCGGCACCTACGGCGACGTCTACAAGGTAAAGACAGGGGCCGCGCGCCGCCGAGGCCGCGGGGTCCCCACTCTGCGCAGGGAGGGCCGGGGGTTCCGGGAGCCTCGGCGTCCGAGTCCGCGCTGCCTTGGGAGACGCTGGCGCCCGGGAGCAGTGGGGGAGGAGGAGGAGCGGGCGCAGAGGGTTCTGCCGCCTGGGGTTGAACAAAGGGCCAAATGTTTAACCCCGAGACCTCCTAGTCCTGACCTGAGCCCTGCCCTGGACGTGATCTTTGACACCTCCCCTCCTGCGCGCAGTTCCAGGGAAGGGCTGAACGTGAGTGAGCCACTGTGCTCTTGGCAGTGCAGAGGTCTGGGCGTTTGTTGCATTGGCAGGGTCAGTGCGACGAACCAGGCAGCAGGGGTTGGCGTTGTCAGACCTGCGTGTTTCACAGTCCTGGGTTATGTCCGCTGTAGGTTGAGAGCTCCTGCCCACTAGGTTGGTAGTAGTTGATACGCTGCTCACCCTCCATCGACTGTCCTCAGCCTTTAGCTTCTTAGCAACCGCCTATCAGTTTCTTTTAAGTTCCCAAGTAATGACTTTTCTTTTGTGAAAGAAATCCAGTTAGTATTGTGGGAGGGGGGATTTTTCAGGGGGAGGAGGAAAGAGCAACATTGTATTTACCTAGTCGAATTGGACTGTGATGCCTTTCAAACTTGTTTTTGTCAGTGACACTCAGGAATCAGCTTTTTTGTTTGTTTGTTTTTTAAAGTGAATCGAATACTTAGGATAGGTACTGGTTTGACAAGGTTAGAATTCAAAGTCCATTAGTAGTACAGCATTCCTGTTGCAGAGGGACCACTTCTAAATGTGGGAAGATAAATCACTCTTCCCTGGCCAGCTCAACTTTTGGCCTCCCAGGGACTGCCAAGAAGAGAGGAGGATGGTGCCAAATGTGGCAGCAGTCTGGATTGAGTTGTGTATCTTATTACTGGTAACTGAAGTTGAACTCCTGCTGTTTCACATAACACCTGAGGATACACACAAAGAAACTTAATTTTACCTTGGAAAGTTTAGCCTCAACTTTACTATTTGAAACAGTGCGTGTGTGTTCTGAATTAGTCTTGTTTTGGGGATGGTTTGCTTTTCACTATTGTGGTTATGAGATCACTTACCCGGGTAGACGATACAGGTGTATTGAGTGCACCTACAGTACATAAGGCACTAAGCATCTAGGTACTTGAGTTGTAGCAGTAAAAGATGTGGTCCCAAATCCTACTAGGCGTTTCTGTTATTTTAGACAAGAACAACATTCAGCAGCCATTTGAATACTTTATTGCAGTTTTATTTTGTGCTGTAGAGTATTAGGATTAGGGTTATGAGAGCATGTAACAGGCAGACCTGTTCTTGTTTGGGGAGTCAGAGGCTCATCACCTTTTAGTTGAGATCTGAAAGGTGATTAGGCATTCTTAGGGCAATGGAGAGAAGGGATTATGTCCGATAATGGGAGCTCTGAGGTCTGGTTTTGAAAGAAGGTCTGTATAGCCTGAGCAGTCAGAGAGGGAGCATGGCCCTACATCTTGCAAGCCTCTTAGCTCTGGTAAGGAAATTGGACTTCTCTTTAGGACAGCCGGGAGCTATTGCAGGATTTTAAGCAACAGAGTAAAGTTAGGTTAAGATTTTCAAGAGATCGCCATACTGCAGTGTGAAGAGTGGAATGGAGGGAGAGGGCAGTTAGGAGGCCATTGTGATAGTCCAGGTAAGAATAATGATGTTTTAGAATATGGTGATGACTGTGAAAGTAGAAGTGGATGGATGCAGGTAGCTAATGACTGGCTGGGTAGGAGGTGAATTGTCCAATTATATTCATATGAAAAGTTAACTAAAACCTTAGGAATGTATAAGTCTTAGGTGGCAGTGTGTACAATAAGTTCTTTTAGAGTTCTTTACAAGAATAATTGGCCACGTATTTGCAGTACAGTAGATCTTCCATAGTTGCCCACCTCCCTACATTGACCACCTCCTTAAGTTTTCCTGCTTTTCATAGACGAGACACCTACCACATACGTGAATCAGTACAGAAGGCCTAGTTCCTTATGTTGACCACCTCCGTATGTTGACCAGTTTGTTACAGTGTCTTGGGTAGTCAACTGATAGAAGTTCTACTGTATTTAAAAAAAAAAAAAGACAGTTGAGCCACATGATTAAAAAGTAAAAAAAAAGGGCCTGTAATTTTTTAAGTGCAATAGAGTCAAAATTAAAATTGATTAATCTTGTCATCTGCTTAAAATAATGATAATACTGGCTGACATTTATGGAGTGCTTATTACTTGCCAGACACTTTCCTAAGATTTTTCTGCTTATTTCTAACAATAACCTTATGAGATAGATGCTGTTCCTGACTTCTTTTGAAGTTGAGGCTCGGCACCTGTGGCTCAAGCGGCTAAGGTGCCAGCCACATACACCTAAGGTGTCGGGTTCGAATCCCCAGCCCGGGCCTGCCAAACAACAATGATGGCTGCAACCAAAAAATGGCCAGGCGTTGTGGCGGGCGCCTGTAGTCCCAGCTACTTGGGAGGCTGAGGCAGGAGACTCGCTTGAGCCCAGGAGTTGGAGGTTGCTGTGAGCTGTGATGCCATGGCACTCTACCCAGGGGGACAGCTTGAGGCTCTGTCTCAAAAAAAAAAAAAAAAAGAAGTTGAAGAAACTGAGGCACAGAGAGATTAACTTGCCAAAGTTATAGTTAGAGCTAAAATTCAAATCAGTTAAAGACTGCATTCTTTTTTTTTTTTTTTTTTTTGAGACAGAGCCTCAAGCTGTCCCCCTGGGTAGAGTGCCGTGGCATTACAGCTCACAGCAACCTCCAACTCCTGGGCTCAAGCGAGTCTCCTGCCTCCGCCTCCCAAGTAGCTGGGACCACAGGTGCCCGCCACAACGCCCGGCTATTTTTTGGTTGCAGCCGTCATTGTTGTTTGGCGGGTCCAGGCTGGGGATTCGAACCCGCCACCTTAGGTGTACGTGGCTGGCGCCTTAGCCGGTTGAGCTATAGGCGCCGAGCCAAAGACTGCATTCTTAACCAGGGATGCCTCTCTAAAGATAGGATATGGGCAAATAATGTATTACTTCATTTCCAGTGGAGAAACTTAGGGTACACATTTAGTTTAGCGTTTGAGTTGTAGCCACACTCTAAGTTACTAGGGATTAATAATGCCTAACTCCTGCTGTGCAGCCAGACCTCACAGTTTTTGTAGTCTGCCAAGTGGACATCAGAATAGATGCTTGATCCCTGCCTGCCAGACTTTTCTAATACCAGGGACCAAAGCAGAAACTTCATGTAGTTTTTGGCATCATACTCCCACCTGCTAAACCCAAATCTTTTTATTTTTTGAGATACAGTCTCACTTTGTTGCCCTTGGTAGAGTGCCATAGTGTCATAGCTCACAGCAACCTCAAACTCTTGGGCTCAAGTGAACCTCTTGCCTCAGTTTTTTTTTTTTCATGTTTCGTGGCGATGGGGTCTCACTCTTGCTCAGGCTGATCTCACACTAGTGACCTCAAGTGATCCACCCACCTCCACCTCCTAGAGTGGTAAGATTATAGGTGTGAGCCACTGCATCTGGCCTCCCAATCTTAAACTATTTGTATTTTTGTCTATAATCACATTTACGCTATAAAGATACATATTGTTTTGTATTTGTTTTGCTGTTTCATATTTCTCCTGTTTATACTAATTGTGTTGATTAATTAGAAAGGACTATATTTTGTTTTCAAAAACCAGTGTGTATAATTTGCTCCTTAATTTGTTAGCATTTAGGTACTAAAAATGGAATGATTGGATTAAGTAGTGAAGTTAGGGGCCTAATTAATTGTAGTCAGACTTGGAAGGTTGGTATTTTAAGGGGTTTTTATTTTGAAACCAATGTAATACAGTATTTATTATATTAAGTGTCATGGTTTAGTTAAAAAGGGCTAAAGTATGATGTGAATGATCTGGGATTTATTAGCTTTGTGATCTTGTAAAATCACTTCGCCTCTCAGAGCTGTTTTGTTGTGAAGGTATTATTACCATAATATGCCCTTCTGCTTTTAGTATTAAATAAATGACTCAAGTTTTACCCAAAGAATAAGTTATCTTTATTTTTTTAAGGTCAATCGAAATAGACATTTATTTCATCTCTATAGTCTTTTTTTTTTTTTTTTTGGTAGTTTTTGGCCGGGGCTGGGTTTGAACCCGCCACCTCGGGCATATGGGACCAGAGCCCTTCTCCTTTGAGCCACATGTGCCGCCCCATCTCTATAGTCTTAAAGTACTTAGATACACTAAACAAACAAAGAAATTGTAGCTTACGTTTTTGTGTGTGTGTGAGAGACACACTAGAGTGCTCTGGTGTCAACCTAGCTCACAGCAACCTCAAACTCCTGGGCTCAGGGGATCTTCTTGCCTCAGCCTCCTGAATAGCTGGGACTGCAGGTGTATGCCACCATGTCCAGCTATATTTTTTTTTTCTGTTTTTAGTAGAGATGGGGTCTTAATCTTGCTCAGGTTGGTCTTGCTGAGTTCCAGTGATCCTCCTGCCTCGGCCTCCCAGAGTGCTGGGGTTATAGGCCTCAGCCACCTCCCCCGGCAGACTTTTATCTGTCATGAAGTATCTGCAGCTGGGGTTACCTAGGGACCTAGCAGTTGACATCTAGAGCTCTTTCACTGAACCTCAGGAGGCTTCTGAGGAGCTCTGAAATTAGTAGGTGTCATGTTGTGTGTATTCTTACTTTTCTGTAGAGATGTCTTGTAGCATTCATTGCATTCTTGAAGAGATGAATGATCTGAAAAAGAAAAGAACAAATAATTAGTAGATTAATCTTTTGAAAGAGTTTTCTTGGCAAAGTAGGTAGTACTGTACTAGATCATAATGTCAGTGTTTAATATGATTTTCACATGCATTGTGCCATCTTTTTTCAGACAGTTTTCTAGTTTAAATTTGTTATTCCTACCCTTAAAGACATCATGTCCTTACTTCTAGAAAGAAACAGGGGATAGTAAAGCTAGAGAT